GTTAATCAGTGCTTAAGAAGTGGGAGTCATTACTGAGATCTTTTCTTGCTAATAACAAGCACCTGTGTGAGTGTCTGAAGCTATTAGGGTATATAAATCATAAAATGATTGTAAGAAAGATGAAAGTAGAAGGTACATCGCATGCTCGTGGCTCACAGTATTATGAGGGGTGTTGGTCTCATTGCGTAGCCATAATACAATGCCATTGTAAGAACACTGAGCATGGTCCTACCAGGGTTCTTAGGACCACTACCAATAATGCTTACTAATGGCTACAGCAATTCAACTTGAGACACTCAGGTCTCACCCTCAGCTTCATTGAGAATGATTTGCATCAATCTGCTAGCAAAAAGCAAGTCTAAGAGCTGGACTGTCCAGCTGCAGGTGGACCATCCCACAGTAGAGCAATCTACGAGCAGAGGAGATCTGTGTTGAACTTGCCAGTCTCTCTCAGTTGGCAGCAAAGAGGTAGCCATGGGAGAAGTGGTGTGGTTAAGGTTTCACAGCACCCTGGTAAACTCTAGTTGCTCTATGAGCCCAGGGTTTAGGATACTATGGGTGTGTCTATATGTGCATTAAATCTAGTACCTCTGGGCATTTATAGACATACTCCAGGAAGCATAGTTGTGTGTGGGGGGGGGGATGGGGACACTCTGAGAGCCACTCTAATTAAAGCGCCCAGAGCATCACATGTATCAGCATCCCTGTGCTGAAAAATGGCAGTGGTAGTGCTTTAACTAAAGCTTGTCGAACCAGATTAATTTAAAGCACCCCCGCCACCATATTTCAGCATGGGGACACTGATACATGTGATGCTGGAGCCTGCTGGAATGTGGTAATTGTCAAGGGCAGTTCATGCCTGACAAACTTTTTGTCCTTCTACAGCCAGGTAACTAGCCATCTGGATGAGAGACACAAGATTGACATGATTTACTAAGACTTCAGTGAAGCCTTTGATTCTGTTTCCCATGGGATTCTCTCAAACAAACTGGAGGGTGCTGGACTGGACTAGTCTACAGTGAGGTGGGTGGACAATTGGCTTAGAGGCCATTCCCAGAGGGTGGTAATCGATGAGATGGCCTCATCCTGGAGAGATGTCTCCAGTAGTGTCCCCCAAGGATTGGTGCTCAGACCTGTGCTGTTTGATAACTTCATTAATGAGTTGGATGAGGGGGTGGAAAGCTCAGTGATTAAGTTTGCGGATGACACACAGCTGTGGGGAAATGTGGGCACATTGGAGGATAGGGTCAGGATCCAGGACAACCTTGACAGACGGACTCGTGGGTGGAATGGAATCAGATGAGATTTAACAGGGATAAGTGCAAAGTCCTTCATCTGGGTAGGAAGAGCCCTCACCACAACTACATGACGGGTGGTGGTCCACTGGCTGCCACAGCATCTGAATGAGACCTGGGGGTCATGATCGACTGAAAGAGGGACATGAGCCAACAGTGCAAGGAGGTTGCCAGAACAGCTAACAGCACTCTGGCATGCATCAGCTGATGTGTGGGCAGTAGATCCAAGGAGGTGCTCCTCCCTCTCTATTCAGCACTGGAGAGACCTCAGCTAGAATATTGTGTCTAGTTCTGGGCACTGCACTTCAAGAAGGACATGGATAAGTTTGAAAGGGTACAAAAAAGGGCCACCCATATGGTCAAGGGCAAGGAGGATAGGCTCTATGAGGCGTAACTCTGGGAGCTGGGCCTGTTCAGTCTGAGTAAGAGAAGGCTGAGAGATGACTTGATAGCTGCCTGCAAGTACATCAGGGGTGAACACCAAGATCTAGGTGAGCAATTCTTCAGGAAGGCACCTCAAGGGAGGACGAGGACCAATGGGCATAAGCTGATAGAGGGTAAATTCAGCTAGATATAAGAAAGAATTTTTCTTTGTGTCTCCAGAATCTGGAACAGATTCACTCCTGGCAGAGGTGATGCAGTCACCATCCTTGGAGGTGTTCAAGAGGAGGCTGGACAGGCACCTTGTGGAGCTTGTTTGAGCCCAATAACTTCCTGCCCATGGCAGGGGACCAGACTTGATGATCTCACAGGTTCCTTCTGGTCCTTCAATTCTTTGATTCTATTAGACTCAATTAATGGACTTTGCTCTGATGTGTTTTAATTACGGTGTGTCAGAGCAGTCTTTCTGTATGTGTATAGGTGCCCTCCTCCATTGTGAGATACTAGGAAAATGCTCATTAACCTGTCTTAATGTGCATTAACTAAACAGCATTTTTTGTGATGCTTTAATGCATAATTAAAATAGGCTAATGTGTATTAAAGTACACTGGGGACCAGCCTGGACAGTCAACCTAGAATCTTGTTGAAGAGGTAAAAGGCTACAAAAGCATTTCTGTCCCTACTGATACTGCCCTATTCTGGGCAGACTGCACCTTTCTCTGACAGAAAGTTGCATGCTCTCTTTTTGTCACCATAGTAGGTGGTTGTGTGGTTTGTTTTACAGCAGGCTATTGGCAAACTCATTTAAGGTACATGGAATGGAGTGTGGGCTCCTGTGCCTCTCACTGGGTGACAGATAGGCTTTAACAACATGAATTTGGAGAAAGAGAAGATATTGGGATCTCCAGCAAGAGAGGATGCATATTGGGGGGTTATACTAGGTAGCTAGTAGGGATGCTACCACCAAATGTTGGGCTACTGAAGGAATCTTTTTGGACCTTGTCTGAGGAACATGGAGGATGATGAAGGATCACATAGAGGAGGAAGAATTGATATCATCAGGAATTATGTGGAGGAGAAGTGGAAGAAGATGCCACATGGGATTTGCTGAGGAAGTACCATAGACCATGAGGGAATAAGAATCAAGAGGGGCTGTAAGGAAATGTCTTGAAGAGGTGAAAGGGCCATCATTAAAGAGAGAGCAGGACGAGAAGGAAATGTCAGAAAAATAAGAGAGCATGTTTTAGGAACATATGAGAATGAAGGAAAAACAATATGGAGAACAGAATATGCACATAAAGAAAATTGCTGGGAAAAGTCTCTTGGAGCATGTGTGGCCCTTTTATTTCCTTCTAACGTGAGCCAATCCCCTGAGGTGCAATGGATGAGGCAGCGCCTGGGGGTCACTCTTTGGCCTGGTTGTCTTGGTGGGTAATAAAGATTCCTCCAGTGTTCATGGACTCTATCCATTGTGCAGTATTTCCTAGCCCTGGGAGTTGCTTGTTATGATGGTTGGGCTTTGCTGTTGTTCCACTTCTGACACAGGCCATCCCAAACACTCCCTTCAATTCTGAATCCTTGGGCAATGATTTAGAGTTGATTGAGTTGTTTAGCTCTCAGTGAGCACATCTACAAAGGATGTTTACTGCGGAGTTGCCTAATTAGCTCCACAGTAAATAGCTTAGCGTCTACGCCAGGTGTGGGCAAAATCCAGCCCATGGGCCAGCAGTGGATTCCATTTTACTCAGCCTTGGTGAGGCTGCAGCTAGCGTACTGAGTCCATTTTTTGCCCCCCCCCCCCACACACACTTGAGGAGGGGTGTGGAAAAGCTTGAAAGAGTCCAGAGGAGAGCCACTTGTATGATCCAAAGCCTGGAGGGCAGAACGTATGAGGAGAGGCTGAGGGATTTGGGACTCTTCAGTCTGGAAAAGAGAAGGCTCAGGGGGGACTTGGTAGCAGCCTACAATTATATAAGAGGGGTGCATCAGGACCTGGGAGAACAGCTGTTCACCAGAGCTCCCCAAGGGATAACAAGGTCTAACAGCCACAAACTCCAGGAAAGCCAATTTAGACTAGTCATAAGGAAAAAACTCTTTACGGTGTGTGTGTGTCCAGGGTCTGGAACAGACTCCCCCTGGAGCTGGTGCAAGCACCTACCCTGGACTCTTTCAAAAAATGTCTGGATATTTTTCTTGCTGGGATCACTTGATTCCAGCTGACTTCCT